TATCTGAATTTTTAGAATTTTGCTAGTTGCAAAATAATTTAAAAGAAAAGTTTGAATGCTCTAAAAGTTTGAATGTCTACCCCTTGGTTAGGATTTTTGCTATGTATGAAACACTTTATGTACTTGTAAAGGCTATTCTATTTTTATGTTGGAAATACCTATCTGTTTTTAATTTGTATGCAAAGACCTACTTCTCTGGTTTTCTATTGAATATTTCTAGTTTTGGTGATTCCATAGCTACATCAAAATCGATATATGTACAACTTGTAAGATTGTCTTTTCTTATGACCTTTTTGCCTTCCAGCTGTCCAATTTTTCTTGTATCTTGAAATTTTAGAATTTTTGTCTACCCTATTGTACCTCACTTATGTCTAATAATGAACCAAATATTAGCTTTCAGATTCTTCATTTCACCAGGGGATTCTCTGAGTCTAGAGAAACTTTAATTTATCCTTAAGGTCCTGCAGTAACTTACTAACTTTTTCTCTAATCTCCGTTCCCATGACTCCAATCCATCTCGCATACAGAAGTGAGGTTAATTTTCTTTTTAAACTCTTGGTAGGTCCAAAGCCTAACATCTCCAGAGTTCCCTGTGGAACTTAAGATTAATCTATATTCCCCAGAGAAGCTCTTAATGCTCTTCATGATTTGACCCTGTTCCACACATTTGGTTTCATGCCAGACTTTCTGCAAGGTGAATTCTTCATTCTGTGAGATTCAGCTTCCTGTACCTTGCATACATGGCCAGTCCTGTCACTTTTCTTGCATGCATGTTGTTTCATTTCAAATCTTTCCTGCAAAGTTCAAGATTTCTGTCAGTTTGAATAGGAGTCAGAGTTTCCCCAACAGAGATCTCATGTTGACATTCGATGGCCAAAGCTTCCAGGTGTTTTTTAAATTTCAAATAGAATCTTTTCTGTTTTTTGTTGCTAATCAAAGAAGCCCACGATCTTGAATTTTTCTTCAGAGTTTAAAAAAATAAACTCTGTGAGGGAATATCCTAGTTTGGAAAAGTATTGCTGAAGTGAAATCATGAAGTTATCTGTGTAGACAAACTGTTTCAAGGCATCGATACCCAGGCGCCAATGTTTTACATACCAAGGCACCTACAGACTGTCGTCCTAGCTCCAGGGCATGAAAAGTCTTTTTCTGTTCATTCATCTCAGTCTTAGCGGAGTGGGATTCCTCAGCGGCTGGGGACCTGCTGAGGTGGCACTCCACTCTGGACACTGTTTCACTGGGACGCCAGCCTGCATCCCCGACCTTGCTCTGTGCTCTCAGCTTGTCGTCAGACCTGACTGTAGCAGTCTGGTGACTGTCATGGCTTCTCAGCAAGCTCTTAGGGGATTGAGGGGCTTGGTTATGTTCACACACCTGTCACATCTGAAACAGTGGGTGGACCTTGGTTTTCCCGAGTTGGAAACAACCAGCAAAGAGGTCAACCATGATGACAGCTGAATTCACATCACTTATTACAATTTTCTTTAACCTCTTCATTATATTGGACATGAAGACAAGAATTAAGTGGAAAGAGCAAGTTCCCCTCCAGTGTACAGACACACATATCTTCACAGTTTTTGTTGAAATAAGCTGACTTCTCTGCTAGACTTTCAATGTGCGTTTCCATATTAATGTTGGGTGAAGTCAGGTCATTTGGGATTTGATGTCAGCTGTATGCTCTGGCATGGGGCCACTTGAATCTCAAACCTGGAAAAGTCTCAACTGTTCTCAGTGGTCATTCACTTTCTGTCAATGCTCCATTCTACACAGTCTTTTAAAGAACTGTTCCAGAGTTTCCGTTCAATATTTGCTTCAAATAGAATTTATTATTAATGATTCACAATTTGGGGGCATTACCTTGGCACTGCATATAAAATGCTGAAAGATTTGGGGAGACACCTTCCAGAAGTTTACTTTTTAAAAATTAAAAAAATTTCCCCATCATGACCCCATGTGGGGTCATGACCCCCTTGTCAGTCTCCTTCTATCTTCACTCAGAGTCCTCATGATGCCTACTGACAGTCATGGTTTTAGAAGGTGTTTTGTGTTGTTGAATTATCTGTTATATGAATGTCCAAAATTGGTTTTTATTTGAAGATTTTTAGAATCATTTATACATAGAAGAACTGGTGTGTAGACAAGAGGTGTGGGGGTATGAGAGGATTCGCCAGAGACAGTGGGGAGCTGAACAGGCAGACTACTGAAATATACTGCTGAGGGGAACAGCAGGCGGGACGGGGAGCATCATGTCGGTCAGCTCCCTGGCTGGGAATGAACTAAGGCTGCAGGGCCTAGTAATAGCGTGACAGTGCTGAGACTTAACCCCTGAGCCACCAGGGAGGCCCCCAAAATTCATATTTATTGTTCTTACACACATTGCTGTACATATTTCTCGCAAATTCCCTCCATTTTTGTTGAAAATGACTATTTTATTCTTTTTTTATGTCTGTCTCATATTCCAAAAGTGGACATACCACATCTTGATCCATTCATATCTTGGTGGACATTTAGGCTGCATCTGTGTCCAGGATATTGTAGAGAATGCTGCTGTGAACATGGGGGGTTTTGTATTGATGGTCTTATGTTCTTTAGATATATGCCCCCAAGTGGGAATGTTCTACTCTTGAGTTTTTTTATTTCTTAGGCTGTTGTTGCTAATTTGTTGAGGGCCTTGTCCATACACAAAAAGGAAAGAAGTTAAGGAATCTTCAGAACACAGGATGGCACTTTATAGGACGCGCGCTTAGCATATCTGATACACAAAAATTCTTTCTCATGAAACATAAATGATTCTTTGAACACATCATCATCATCACCTTCTTATAAATAATGAACATCTATTATGTGCTCAGATAAAATATTTTTTCATTTTTAGGATCTCATTTATATCTAAAAAGAATCATACTTTTTTTTTCTTGAGAAATGCTTACAGACTTTATTTGCCTGGTGGTACTTTGCATGTAAACCATCAGCAGTCAGTTTTGGTTCATCCCTTGACCACTGGCCCTGGCCCTCCCTTCATGGCCCAGGGGACCATGCCTTGAATCTCATGGTACTTTTGCAGGGTAATGGTCAGTCTCTCCTCCTTAGAGCTGGAGGATTTACCTGTGGGTGAAGCCCACAGATCTTTAAGTCTTATGTGTTTCAGTACTAAGCATGCTGAATATTTAATGCCAGACAAAAATTGATTTTGTGTCCTTAAAAACCTCCACTTAGTCAGTGTATATAATATTAAGCATAAGCCACTCCTGTACTAATTGCAACTCCTGAGCTAATTCCCCCCCACCCCCACACCGGCCACATACCTCCCCACCTCTGGAAGAGAGTTTTCCAAAGTTGCCATGATGGCCCAAGAAACTGGAGGCTACACACAGCTGGTCTCCTCGCCTGTCCTTCATGTCCATCCAGCCTGGATTAACACCCCATGACATAAACCTCAGAAACATCTCATCTCCCTCCAGCAGCAAGGGAAACAAAGAAGAGAATAAACAACGGGTCTATGTCAATCTAAAAAGCCTTCTGTACAGGGAAAGAGACAGAGACTAAAACAAAGAAACACCCTACTGAATGGGAGAAAATGTTTGCACACCATACATCTGATAAGGGATTGGGAGCAAAGATCTACAACTGCTGATACAACTCGAGGAAATGAAAACAAACAACCCAATCAAAAAATAGTCAGGGGAGCTAAATAGGCTGTTTTTCAAAGAAGACACGCAGCTGGCCAACAGACACAGGAAAAAAGGCTCATCACCACTTATCACCCGGGGAATGCAAATCAAAGCCACCATAAGACACTTCCTCACACCTGTGAGAACGGCCCCTAGCACCACCTCCACAAGCCACAAGTGCTAGCGAGGGTGGGAAGAGACAGGAACCTTATGGCAGTGCTGGGAATGCAGAGTGGTCCAGCCCTCAGGAAAGCAATGTGGCACTTCCTCAGGTGACTAGACATGGATCTACCCGATGCCCCAGCAACCCCACCCCTAGGCATTTGTCCAAAGAGCACAAACATTCAAAAAAAATTCAGAAGCACTCGCCTACACCTCTCTTATCGCCGCATATCCTTTTGTCATTTTGCAATTTGACATTTGACTCCAAGTCATGTTCTTACTGGAGGTCTGGCCTGCAGGCTCAGTCTCTAATTTGTGATCCAGGCGTAGCCAATTCCCTGAGTAGAAAAATCCTCACCCAGCCTGGATTTGTCCTGGTCCTGGTTCTCCCTGGGACCAGCCCTGCCCCACCTCCTGCTCTGCCTTCAGACTTCATCCCAAACAAGACCAGGCGGGCCTGTGGCTCAGGCAGTGGCCTCCATTCACTGTTGTGGCCCACGGGGTGGCTCAGCAATGGAGAGTGGGAAAGAACCCCTGCTTGGCTCAGTGACTGTTGTGGCTAGAGACGGGTGAGACTTGGCCAGGGAGTAAGCACCTGAGAGCATCTTCTCTTTGGACTTTGAAGGTTTTCAGAAATCTGACACCATGTCACACACCCACTCAATTACTTCCCAAGGTTTTTAAAATTTTAGCCAGTCTCCTACCTCTCCTGCCAATATACAGCGACAGGGCGTTGTGACACTCCTGGGGACCATAGTGGACTCAAGCCCTTGGACTACAAACACACTTTATTATTATGTGTTGTTTTCTTGGCCTTGTATCTTTCCTTCCCATTGAGGATGTAAGTTTTCTTTTGTCTTAGGAAATACCCAGTTCAGCGATGGACAGAAAGAAACGAGGCATTCATTAGGGCATTCAGAAGATCTCGTCCTTCTCTGTGGGTTAAACTGCTGGCTCTAGTTACAGGGAACAGTGATGTTCCCTGACACCTAATTTCAGGTATCGCTGAATTCTAATGTGACGCTGTTAAAGAAGCCACGTTAAAAATGCCTATGATCTTGGTTTTTATGAAACCGGTGCTATAGAAATACTGAATAATGCAGCTAACTCATAACTAATACTGTCATGTCTAGATAAAATATTGAATCTTAAAAAATTCACGAACAATTTAACTTGCAAAAGTAAGTTTATTGAAGCACAGAAACAATTAGAGCAAAGTAGTCATTTTAATTTTTTTAAGAGCATTATAATCAGAAAAGAGGAGTATGCAGAGAAATTGGTTAGTTATTGATTCCAGATGGAAACTGTCTCCTGAAATTATCCAGAAAGATGATCAGATTGATGTGGTTTTCTCATTTGTGTCCTTTAGATATATTTTTTTTTTCTCTGAAAGACACCCTGGTTGAGCTGGAAACTGGAAATCACTTATTTAATTTTCACTTCACAAATATTGCTGACTTGAGAGGAGATGACTTTGCCATCCACCACCTCCTCTACGATGGTCTTCGTCACTCTACTCTTGCCTTGATCTGAAAATCCTAGAATCAGATTGTCAGTTTGGAACCGATCCCAGAAAACCTGATGGAGAGGCATTCAAAGGCATTCATTTCAGACATTCTTTCTGGATTAGAGGACTTCAACAATACACATTTTGAGTGTGACAAACAAGACACAGACTTCTTTTTAAATGATAAAATGATCATCCATATTAAGAAGACGCGTACCTTTGGACTGGCTTCCAGACATGGAGCTTCCAGACATAGAGCCTCCAGATATCGAACCCCTGGGTCCACTACCTCTGCCTCCTCCACCTCCTCCTCCTGTCTGTCTGCTTCCGGAGCTTCTAAAACCAAAATCCCCCCAAATCAGAACCACTGGAGAGAAAACAGGGGCTGCCTTTCCTCTGCAGTGTGCACGGGCGGGCGGAGAAGGCGCCCTGCAGGGGCTCCTGGCCAGGGAGTCCCGTGATGGGGCTGTCACTGAGATTCCAAGTAGCCCAGGCCCCTTGGTCCCCGGGCCCCTCCTTACCCTCCGCCCTCGCCATCGAGCAGGCGGCGGTAGGTCTCGATCTCCATCTCCAGGCGGGTCTTGATGTTGAGCAGCTGCTCGTACTCTGCGTTCTGGCACTCCATCTCGCCGCGGATCTGGCAGATTTGCCCCTCCAGGCTGCTGATCTTCATCTGGATTTCCGACAGCTGCACCATGTAGCCGCCCTCGGTGTCGGACAGTGTGCCCTCCAGGGAGCTTTTCTACGGAGCAAACAACCGACCAGGATGAAACCGTCACCACATGATTCAAAAACATTGTATAAGGCACCAGACACACGCCTTCCTCAAGTTGCTACAACCAGATCACTGTTCCCTTAATGTTTTGCTGGCCTTACTCTTTTTCAGAAAGTCGAGGTCATGTTCATTTCTGACAGCGTCAGTCAGGGGTGCTGTTTTCCCTCCTGACGACTGCATAAACGACACTGAGATTAACACTGACGTCTGGCCTCCACCCCCAGGAGAGCGGGCCGTTTCCCCCTCTCCTTCGCCCACCGCCATCCTTGGCATTACTTTTAATCTTTCATGAAAATAGCCTATATGACCTTGAACTGGAATGCTATAGGCGTTTTTACAACCCCAAGACAGGCCTCTTAGCTTTGCTTTCATTAGATGCCAGGTGGCACATCTTGGCAGAGAAAGGCAGCGGGGTGGTTTCACGCGCTGGGGGGATGGTGAACAGCGCTGGCACATACCATGGCCAGTTGGGACTGGAGCTCGATTTCCAGGGCTTGCATGGTGCGTTTCAGTTCTGTTATCTCACTCTTGGCAGAGTTGGCGGCCCCGGCATCGGTGGTGATCTGGGCTTGCAGGGAAGCGCTCTGAAGGAAACACAGTGCAGTTACAGCAGGCCGATGGAACAAACACTGGCGGCTGTGTGTGGCCGTGGGCTCGGAAGCTCAGCCCCACACCACACCTGCTTGTTGAACTGCTCCTCCGCCTCCCTGCGGTTTTGCTCCGCCAGCTCCTCGTACTGAGCCCTCATGTCATTCAGCAGCTTGGTCAGGTCGGTTCCTGGGGCAGCATTCATTTCCACGGTCACGTCTCCCGTGGTGGTGCCTCCTTGCATACTCTTCATTTCCTAGCACAGAGGAGAAAGGCCATCGTGATGAAAATGTACTTGGGCTCTAGCTTTCTGAGAGTTCCTAAAATGTGCATTGACACTAACAAGTTCAACCCAGGACATCGGAAGCCCCATTCCTCCCACCAGCAACATTCAGGCAAAAGTTGCTCATGGCTACTTTTTCCATTCAGATAGGATGTGTTTTTTGGGGCAGGGGGAGAGGTAGGTTGAGCCATTTCTCGTCTGGAGGGCACCCTCACCTCCTCGTGGTTCTTCTTCAGGTAGGCCAGTTCCTCCGTGAGGCTCTCGATCTGCATCTCCAGGTCTGACCGAGTCATGGTCAGGTCATCCAGGATCTTCCGCAGGCCGTTGGTGTCGGCCTCCACGGACTGCCGCAGGTACAGCTCATTCTCATACCTGGAAGGGGCAGCAGTAAGACACTGGCATACGTTTCAGAAGAAGTTGGTGGATTTCCACCTATTCAATAACCAGTTTTCTGTTTCCTTGCAAACAGAAGTTTTCCCTTAGTTGTTATTCCCTGGTAAAGGAAACTATAAAAGCCTACTGATATTTTTGTATAACCAAAGTGTCACCCTTAATTTGCTTTCTCTTTTCTTGCTAGGGAATGATGGGTTTTAAAGTTTATCCTTGGGATGCTTGTGAATTTAGGTTGTGCTCTTGTAAGCTTCTATTTTAAAACTTAGAATAAGTGAAGAAATGGACTGAATTTTATTTTTTGTGCAGTAAGAAGGCTTCGTTTTCTTACTTCAGTCTGAAGTCATCAGCGGCCAGCCTGGCATTGTCAATCTGCAGAACGATTCCAGCATTTTCAATCGTGGCTGTGATAATCTAGGAAAGACAGTAGCAATGAGTGACCTGTAGATTCCTTTTACCTGCTGTCTGTGTGCCCACCTCTGAGGGTGGATAGTTTCCTGTGTTATCTTTCAAAGGTGAATGACTTTGAAAATTTGCTTATTTATTTTGATAAACCTGGTGTATTTGGGCTGCATCTTTCTGCTAGTTAGCAATTTGCACATTTATTAGAGTAGGCACCCAACATGGTGCCTTCGCATCTTTCTGCTGCTTGGAAGATCAGCTAACCTCTGCACTCCTTTAGAAAATAGTGTGGAACATGAATTTCACTTGCAAATAAGTCTTTAAAAAATATATATATTTCCCATACAACAGTGGCTAAGTATTTTAGATGCCAGCACATTGTCATATAATATTGACACCAGGTTTTCTTGGAAGAAGAATAGTCATAGAGACTGTTTAAATGTGGCGAGATACTAAAATGCCAACCTACCAGAATTACATGAAACAATTAGATTAGTCTAATGTTGACTCATGGTCATCCTTATATAGACACATTGATGTGCTGACTGGCACTGAATAATTGTTACTCTTAAGTAGAAATATTCAGCTTCAGATGCACACAGAAAATTAACGTGGTTGGATAAGTCCCCCAAAGAGCAGGTATGTTTTCAAAGAATTCCTTGGTTTAAAGTCTTCATTATGATACACGATCTGCATAAAAGCAAAAGATAGAGCACAAGTGGAAATTCAGCACTGCGTTGTTCTCACCTGATTCCTCAGATCTTCAATTATCGGGTAGTATTTGCTGTAATCTCTTCCAGTGCTAGTGTCTCCAGACCCTGACCCATTTTTCTCGTACCACTCCTTGATTTTGATCTCTAGATCAGTGTTGGCCTCCTCCAGGGCTCTGACCTTGTCTAGGTAATTGGCCAGGCGATCATTGAGGTTCTGCATGGTTTGCTTTTCACCTCCGGAGAAAAGTCCCCCATCGCCACCCATGCCGCCACCACCGCCACCCATGCCACCGCCATAGCTATAGAAGCCTCCGCCAGCACCGCCACCGAATCCGGATCCCCCACTGAAGCCAGAGCCCCCGCCGAAGCCAGAGCCCCCGCCGAAGCCAGAGCCCCCGCCAAAGCCAGAGCCTCCAAAGCCGGACGCAGAACCGGACCCTCCGCCATATCCGCCTCCGCTTGAGAAGCTACCTAAACCCCCGCCGAAGCCACCGCTGGACCCTCCGCTCATGCCGCAGCTGCCGGAGCCTCCCCGGAAGCCCCGGCCACCAGAGCCGCCACCAAGGCCGCATTTGCTTCCACCGCTGAAGCCAGTGCCACAGGTTGAGCCCCGGATGGAGCCGCTGCCTCCAGCCCTGGAGGACATACGAGCGGTGCAAGACATGATGCTCCTATAGACTGTAGCTTGGCAGTGACTGAGAGCGTGGCCGAGAGGAGCGTGCTTGCAGGATGCCTTTTTGGCCCTTATATACACCCTTTTAGGGTGTTCCTGTTCTGTGTCACTTCTTAATCCCTGTTACAGTTTTGCTAATCCCCAATTGGATAATTTTTTTTTTTTTTTTTTTTGGTAAACCCACTCTACTGGCTCTCTTTCTGAAGCTGGGTCAGAGCCCCAGGGCATTTAGTATCTCAAGAAAAAAAATAAGGTGGAGCAAAGCAAAAAAAAATACAAAGTACATTTTTAATCTTTCAGAAGTTTTGATGACTGATAATTCTTTTCTGAAAGAGTAATTCTATTAATTTGCTTTATGATTTCCCAATTGTAGGGCACATCCCAGATTTAAAAATGTAATGTAATTAAAATACTTAATATGATGAGAATGGAAATTTCCCATCAGACTTGGACATTTATGCTCGTATTGCTCTTTTACAGTTGAAATGAGCTTTAGCATCAGCATAATTTCAGATTGACATAGTTGTCCTTCTCTGCAATGATTTCAATCAGTATGTTTTTAAGGTTGTTGAAGTTTATAATTTTAGATGACCATTTTATTTGTATTTTGAGAGAAATTTGATATTTTTAGTATTACTAAGATAAACTTAAATAACCTTTCATGTATGTGTTATTAGATCTCAGCAGCACCTTTATTTGAACAGACAAATGATTCATTCAGAAAGGTTAGAAACGTTTTTAGGTAGATCATTTTCTTATCAGATAGGTGTTCATTTTTTTTTTCTGATTGAATTTGAGAGTGATATAATGATAACAAACTTCTTTCTTAAGAATCAGAGCTTAGAAACTAAGAGATGTTGATTTTGCCTTTCTTAGATTTAAAGTTATTTAAACAAGAGGATTGAAATCCTTTTCTGATAACCAACATGCTTGGAGTTATTTTGCTGAGACAGAAAGCTGGGGTTTCCCCAGGCTGATCTCTGCTTGTGCCTTTGTTTTTTGTTAAAAAAAAAAAAAAACCATTTGGGGAAGAGGATCTGTATCCATTCTTAATGAATACTGTGATGAGTGGGGTCGGTTTATAGACAATGAAATCTAGAATCCTCCCTACTTCAGTTTCTGCTTCTTGTTTTTCTGCCCATTGTACCCTAGATTAATTCCACTTGTCCTGTTAAAAGTTTCTCTGATTTCAAAGTGTTGTTTTAAACTGACAGATATGCATATTTCCACTTATATGAGGTACCTGATGTAGTCAAATTCAGAGACAGAAAATAGAATAATGACTGTCAAAGACTGGAGGAAGAGAATTGGGGAATGGTTTAATGGGTAGAGTGTAGTTTTGCAAAATTTGGGAGATTGGTTGCACAAGGATGTAAAGGCACCTACACCATTAAGCTGTGGGTTAAAAATAGTTTCTAAGATGCTAAACCTTATGTTCTATGTATCTTACCACAAATAAAAAAAATATTTTTTTCAGAAGTATAGATACTTCCAAAAATATTTCTTGCTCTCCTTAGTTTTATGCATGGGTAGCTGATTTTTGTTTACTAGAAACTTTCTTAAGCTATTCTTCATGAATTGGAAGAATTAACATTGTCTAAGTGATCATCTTACCTAAAGCCATATACAGATTGAATGCGATTTTATCAAAATTTCAATGTCATTCTTCACAGATATAAAACAAAAACTAATGAAATTCATATGGAACCTCAAATTCAAATGCAACAGACCTCAAAAAGTCAAAGGAATTCTGATAAGAGGAAAATGATGGTATCAAAGTCCCAGATTGCAAATAATATTACAAAGCTACAATAACCAAAACTATACAGTACTGGAACAAAAGAGACACATAGATCAATGGAATAGAACTGAGAGTCCAGAAATAAACTCACACCAATGTGACATGCTCTATTTTTCTTTTAATTTATTAATGCTTGTTAGTGTTCCTATCCATGCTGAAAGAAGAGAAAATAATATAACCTATAAATAAAACCTTGAGATAAAAAGGCTCTCTTTCTTTTGTATCTTGCTGTTTCTGTTAAATTATATGAATGCTTTTATCTTTACAGTTGATTGTTGTTATCTAACATTATGTCTTGTAATTTTTCCTTAGACTACCTTTGCCATATACAGATTGAATGCAATTCAATCAATTTAATAATGTGTATACATTATTAAAGAGGTGATTATTCCCTTTATTGTGTTGCTTTTTATGTCATTAGCTTTTATGTTCTGCTGGCACTGTTTTCATGGTAACATGGTGGTGTTACTATTCTTTATACTTAGGATGCCAATTCTCCAAGGGATACCAGCTGCTTTATAAACTTTAAATTGTTCAGCTAGGAGTAATTCTGATTACACCCTTCTAAGTTAAGTAAAAAAGGCACTGGCCATTATAGATGTTGGTCATCTTGCCTCACCCCTCCCCAGAGCAATGAAACCAAAGATGTGCTAAACACCAGTGATTAAATGGCATGCAAGTGATGGAGATGGGAGGAATAATCTTTGGGCTTTTCCTTCCCAATTATGAAATGCAATCTTTCCACTTTCAAAAGGGCTAGCATTTTACTAAAGGAAGGTTTAAAGAAAGGAGTAATAGATGAAACACGAGAAATTTCAGAGCCTAGATAGAAAGAGTTTTATGGGGAAAGAATGAGAAAAAACAAAATTCAGCAGTATCTTCGTTCCTAAATTTTCTTTGAGGTTGGTGGAGTTTTTTCTCTTTCATTACCTCATGTTGGGAGGTAAATTTTTTATTTCACGTTGGGATATCTGGACATTTGGGTCTCAATTGAGGAAGCCTGTGATGACTAAGGTATTCTGTCTTGTCATTTATTTTTGTATAATCTTTCTTGTTGATATACATTTTAATGCTGACATTCTTTATTTTTGAAATTCAGAAATTCAGAAAGAACATTAAAAGATATTTGTGATGTTTTCTAATAGTCCTTCAAAAGGCACTAGTGAATAAAACAGCCTTTAGTACCTCAAATTTCTTTGCTTGATAAGTAAATGTGTGTAAATAACAACAGTAATAAAAGTGATACATAAATGTTTTCTTCTCTGTTAGTATTTCCTTACGTACAGCTACAGACTTTGTTTCTGTGTGGCAGTGTTTTGCCTTTAAATGGCGCCTCTGTTGAACTGACTAATCTTGACTTTGTGATTTTCACACTATCTAGAAAGTTGGCATCTAGTAGATTAAAGGATTTTAATCACACACATAAATACAACTTTGTGCTTGCTAAAGTGTTAGAATTTGCAAGTAAATATTCACTCCTATTGATTTGAGACACCCCGTATTGAATATGCTCTTTCTTTGCGAAGGACAATTAGTCCTCAATGTTTCTTTCATCTGTACCATGAAAGCTTCAAGGATCTGGCCGGGAGACAGTATGTTCAGAAGTACCACTTTCAGTACCTGGCACCCAGGTACTGGACAGATGTTGGACAGACAGTGATTGAAAGAGACAGCCTGAACCCCAGATGTCCTGGCTTCCCTTACCAGACTCTGCTCTCAGTTACACATTGTCTTGATATTTTTTTTGTTTACAGTTCAATTTTTTTTATTGTAAAGATCACCTACACCGCATTTCATTATTTTGTAATAAGTGCAGAATGACTTGCTAACCACAAGCATCAGCATTTTTGTGAGATAGATTACTTGTATTTCAAACAAGTGCACGTTTTTAGATTAGTAAGCAAGCCAAACACTGAAAGGTTTGGCACATTGCTCCTGATGAATCTTTAAAGCTGAGCATAGAATGAACTGGGGTGGGGGGGGGCAGAATCTTCTGTTCGTACTAGAGAACATCCTGTTATGTGCTTTTCAAATAAAAACATAAGACCAGAATAACTACGAGAAAGGTGTGGGGCACTGTAAAGGGGTGGCAGACCGTACAGAGAAAGGAGATGCTCCAGTTGGAGGGCACCCAGCCTCTTTGTGGCCCCCAACCTTTGTGGATGAACAGTAAATACTCCTCAAAGGGAGAAAAATCAGTATGGCTTGATATGCTTCATGAATGTCGTGTATCCCAATTCCTTCTGCCTTTACTGTGTGCTCTGCTTTCTAAGTCCCATTCTCCACTTTTTGGGTTTGGGGTTCTCAATGTGTGTGTGTGTGTGTGTGTGTGTGTTTGTGTGCACGCCTGTGCACCATGAAAGCTGTTGTTGAGAGGTTGAGAGGTGTAGCTTGGGAATAGGACAGAGAACCCACAGCCATCTTTCCTAATGTCCCAGGGGATAGTCAGGCTCAACTACTTGGGGGGAAAAAATTGCAACAAAAGTATTCTGTGAGGCTGTTACCAGTGAGTCTAGTTCAGTCCATAGGCTGAGGATGCTGTGGACACGGAAGGAGCTAAGAACCCCCCCAGTTTCTAATGGTCTCTCTTCCTGTCTTTGTCCTCCAACAGCCTTTTCTATTTTTTTCTTAATTGTTTCAATTGAGTTTATCTGTTTGAAGTTTTCCTCTTCTCCTTCAGTACCTGTTGGATCATGCCATTTTGCCAAATTTTGTTTTGGCAGAAAGTGATTGGGCTTTGTATTTGTTGAGTTTGAATGGCATCTCTTGAAACAATGCATTTTTCTAATTCCTGAACATCAGAGAGTTTATGGAGAATTATTGGCGAGGCACTTGTAGGGGTTGAGTTGCTTCTCTCCCCCAAGGTCTCCTGAGTCAGCAGGAGTCTATTGATTATTTTTGCTTGCTTGAAGGGCCTTTGGGACCTTGCTTCCTAGCAGACAGAAACAGCCACCCCTCCCCCCCCTTCTTACCTGCCTTTGATAAGCCTACCTGCTGGGCCTCACCCCACCTCCCCTAGACCCCTCTGAACTTGACCCTTCAATCTCCTTTGGCTTTTGAGCCCAGAGATTCTATAAACCTTTAGTTAAGGAATTCGAATGGTAAAATAATAGTTTCACAGGAAATGAGTGGGACGACATTTATCCTAGAGACTCAGAAACCTTCCCCTGTTCAAATTCTTTCTTCTTTCCACTGGGGCAGTAACACAACTTGTAAGAATTGT